ATATATATATACCTTACAACCTATGTTCCTTTTGTCACCTTCTCCTTTTTCACTATTGAGCCGATGTAACGAGTAAATTTCCCCACTGTGAGATCAATTAAGTCAATCAATCAATAAACCACAAAGTCTCTCTCACTTTCAGCTTTATAACGAATTCCATCTGTTCTTAAAATCTCAAGGAGCATTCATCTGACTTGCTATACCTTCATCATAAAGGTTCTCTTTCTACACTCTCTCTAAGGTAACGATAATGAGAGGGCTGAGGGAAAGCTTTTCTCATCCAAAACAAACCAGCTTACAAACATAAAATATTGACCTTATTTAAATGTATCATGCAATTAATGTAGATACTATTTATGGTGAGGTCAATTTATCATTTTCTTTCAGTGTACGCAATCTTAGAATATTTGTTATTATATAACAAATAGTATAATATATTATTATAATATTATAATTATTTCAACCTTTATGCTTTAGCAGCAGGAATATAAGCTTATTTCAAATCCAGAATTAGTTTACTGGCAACATTCCTTCAAAATTCCCACCTTTTTTAAACTTCAAAATTGTTTTTTTAACATTTAAAGTATTTGTTAGCCATTTGAAAATATGACCCAAAGCTGTTAGTATAATCATCATTGAAGATGTGTGAGTCAATTACACCTTGGTATTAGCTGCCTGTTGTTGGTCAGAACTGATGTTTTAATCTAATTGAGACAGCTCCTCTGTTTGGATACACAGTTATAATCTTCATTCTGTAATTGGCCAAGATTTGGGAATGGAATGAGAGCGGTGTCCTTCAGCTATGAACAAAGAGTAATATTTTGATAAGGCTGGAGCCATGGATGTCTACTCATCTGCTAACATGTATGATGTAAATTAAGATGATGTGCCAGACTGGAGATGTATAAAATGCTCCTCTAACTGTTAATCGGGACCACTTCCTGAGAGGTGAGCAGCTGCCTTCAGTAACTCTAAGCAACTTCTCTGATCTGAGTTAGATTACAATTTCTATCAGAATCTGTTGTCATGTCTCCTGGTTATTTAATACATATAAGTTATGAAGGGTTATTTGAAGGGTTTGTCCCGAGTGATTTCTTTTCAGGAACAAGAACTGGAGAGATAGAGCTTCAAGATGTAAAACACACAGAGCCTATCTTCAACAAAGCATTTAAATCAACTTATTGGTTTGGATCTTAAACTGAATGAGGTTTTACTTTGGCTGAAATTCTCTCAAATTTTAAAAACTATGTGAAAAAAAAATAGTTTTAACAATGACATTTGGAACCAAAGTCTGCAACACCTTTCAAGTTTCATATTTCTCTCAAACAAGTATATTGTATGTAAACTACCTTAGAACAAAGTTAAAGTTTTTTTTTGTGTGCCAATTTTCATATAGTGCCTTTAAAAGCATTTATTATTTTATTGCAATTTATTCTGCATTTAGCAAAATAACCCAGCCATGACATAGTTTTTAATCTTTTCTAGAATTTATTTACAGATTTATATTAAATTTATTGCCATGTTGCAGTTTTCAAATGTAAAACCGTCATCTAAACGTTTCTATAAATATTTTTTCGCAGTTAATTGAAGAAAGGGAATAAAGCCTGCAAACAAACACAGAGAGCCGGTTCCATATAACTTACTGTTTAGCTGTGTTGACATGGACTCCCAAAGTGAGACTCAGCCACTTATACGTTACCTGGAAAATACGTATAAAAATGATAAATACATTGTGTCTACATGTGAATTTGTTTCTACATGTTGAGATGAGGAAAGTGTATGGCTAGATGCTCAGAACTCAGTCGCTAAAAAATAAACTATTAAGACAACATTTATTGGTTTAAATTACAAAGCCGAATGAGTCAGACGGCCAACTCTTACCATTATCTTTAAAAACCCTACAAACATATTGAGAGTTATGTTTAAGAAGTTGTAAGACATTTAACTGTCAAGATTTTCTAACGTCCTTCCACGGCTACTTCCATTAAGCTAGCTTATTTTACATGTCAAAAGCAAAACCGAAACACTAAAGATGACAGAGCCCCAAAAATATTTAAAGATACTTACTATCTTGTTGTGGTCGTTGACATATTCGTCAATATTATCCAAATAAAGTTCGTCCATTGTGTCAGACTGTCCTCAATGGTTAGCTTGTATTAATCCAACTGCGCGGGAAAGAAGTTTATTTACTTCCGGTCTCGATCACGTGTCTGGAGGCTGTTCCGGCGCAATAAGCTACTCTAGGCTGCCCTCTACAGGCTAACAGGTTAATTGCCTTTGCAGTTAAAATCACTTGTCACTGCTCACACGTTTATGGAGGACCAGCTCTGACATAGTTAAAAATAAATACGGAAATAAATAAATAAGCACACAATGAAATTCCCCCCAAAATAAAATAATCAGATAAATGTAGGTAGAAATTAAATTATACAGAGACATAAACATATATGTCTATTTTAATTAGCTTCTTTATTTATTCGCCTTTGTAATAAGTGCCTTATATATTATTTCATTCTTCCTTTGTATTGTTTTTTTTACCCTATTTATTTCTTAAATGCTGCTTATTTCTTCCTGTCGTTTTTATATTTCTGTATGCATTTCTGCCTCATTATGTAAATGAGGAAGGGCTGTGTCTTCGAGGGTCCTCCAAACACATTGTAATCTACCGCACCCTTGCATTAAAAATATGTGATAATACCTAATAAAGAAAGAAGAACAAAGAACAAACAATAAGAAAAAAGACCAAATTTATGAAGTATAACTAATTACTTTTTCCTTTCAGTTTTTTAAAACATCCCACTGTCATCCCTGCAACAACTCTAAAATCATGAGACAACGCTTTAATTTTATTTCTTGGAAACAGCTGCAACAAAATTATGTAAGTGCTTCTTTATAGTTAGCCATAATTAGGTATAAACAATGAAGTATAAACAATGGATTAACGGATGAACATTTCAAAGCTATATTGTCAAACTTTAAAGTTTATTGGTAATCTTTGTGATACACCAACAACAGCAGTGCACCATTGAAACGTGGAAGGGAAATCAGGTGTAATTTCCCAGTTAAAAATATTGAAAAACTTTCGACAAAAAAAAAAAAAAAAAAAAAAAAAA